GGCTTCTGAGGCAGCCAAAGTCTCCTCCTGTGTATGCCAAGTCCCCTCAGAATGCATGACACTCTGGGAAAGAGTAGATGGAGATTAGAGATAGCTCTGTCTCCTCATTCAATTGGTATGCTCCTGACTTTCTAGAAACTATCCTTAATTTATGTCTGAGGGTGGGTACTATTATTTTTTAAATGGACACTTTTAAGACACTGTAGGGGAGGGTCAAGAGAGCAGAAGCCATACATTTCAATTCCCTTTCTCTTTGGTCAGTCACAGACTGAGTGCTTCTTGGGGCATAACTGGTTCACGATTTGGAGAGGGAGAAATAACCAAGCATATGTAACAGTCTTTCTCCATTGGAGTAAAAGGAATGGATTTTATTTAACCTACATTTTAATATATAGTCAACTTCTCCTGAGACATTTGGGAATCCTCAAATTTGTAAATACTGAGCCTTCGGACTACACCTCTATGGTAGTATGTGTGCCTACCTCCTGCTATGCATCCATCATCTTTGTTAATTTCCTCTCCTGGAATCTGGCTAGGCCTGTGACTTGTCTCATTCTGTTGGTTAAAAAGCCACAGGCTCAGCCTAAGAAGGCCTGGAAGCTTCTGCTTTTGTACTCTTGGGGACCCTGACCTTCCAGGCAAGAAGTTGGAGAAACCACATACAGAGGGAGAATCTGAGCCTATATAGAAAGAGACGGAAGTACAGCTAACCCTCACCCCAGCTAAGCATCGCTTCTAGGTGACATCCCATCTGACCAACCACTAGCAAGAGCAGCTAAAAATGTCCAGTTGAGCTCATCCCAGATGGCAAAATTCTAAGCCAATAGATAGGCTGTTGTTTCTTAAGCCAGTAAGATTTGAGGTGGTTTCTCATGCAATTATAGAAGAGTTCCAAATAGAAATTACCTCAAGGTCAAGTGACTATAATCATCATTCCCACTCCCACCAAGTCAACCCCCTTTTAATCTTGCACCAAAGAGTCTCTCCTTATCAAATGGTGCTTTTCACAAAGAAACAAACTTTGTGTTAGTTTACAATAGATTCTGCTTACACAAATTATATTGTTATATTGTGTTCAAATATGTAACAACAAATCTCAACATTATGTACAACTATAATGCACCAATAAAAACATGGGAACAGAATTACTGCCTACATAATGGTGAGTAGACCAAAATCTGAAAAAAAATTAAAAAGCCTTACTAGGCTGTTGGAGCTGCAGGTTGGGGTTTGGGCTTCTTAAGCAAAATAGCTCAATCCCATATATCAATTTCATATGCTTGAGGCTCAAAGTCATGCCTCCACAAATTTACAAATGATTCCCTGACATGGATCTTCAAGGTTACTCACTAAAGAAAAAACTAAGAATGTTTAATTCTGAGTATCAAGGTCTATGTCAACTAGATACCCCAGAGAGGGCCAGATAGGAGTCCACCAGATCAGAGGGGCAACATAATAAAATAAGCCAGGACTGGATTCTGAAGCCATTGAACTCAGTAGCAAATCTCAGATCTGCCATAAAACCTTGGGCAAGTTGCTTACTCTCTCTGTGCCTCAGTTTCCTCATCTGTAAAATGGGGTAATAGTAGTTCCTACCTCCCAGGGTTATTGTGAGGATTAAATGCACTAATGTATATATAGGGCATAGATTGATGTCCAGTTATTCTGTGCTTAAGTATAAGTGATTATACAGTAAGAATTGGAAAAAAATTGCACATGAACTTTAAGTCATACAAATAACTGTTTATAGCAACCACACACCAGGAGAGGATGCCAGTTTCAAAACTATATCATATATATCTTATTATCTGTTTCTATAAGAGGGCAGGTCATCATAACAAGAAGGAGCACTGAGCCAGGAAAAGGGGATCTAAGTTCTTTTTCCAGCCCTAATGTGAACTAGCTGTGTGATATAGAGCAAGTTATCTATAGAATGGGAATAATGACAGCAACTTTGCCTAAAGGGACTGGACCAGATAGTCCCTCTTTTATGTTCCTACACTTTTAATATCTCTTTGAGGTGGTAAGGAGGAGGCAGAATTGCCACCATTTTAAAGATGGAGATCTGTACTGTATTTTGGCTAGCTGATTTGTCCAGACCAAACTCAAATCCCAAAGTAGAGATAAAAAGGGGCTTCTCTAGACCAGAGGGTATATTGGCACAAACTACAAACTCTTTCCTGGCCCCCTTGCTGTTAGACATGGTCATGAGATTGAATTTGGGTGCTGGTGAAGAATGTTGCTTTCAGGACAATCTTCCATAATCTCACCCTCCCCTTTTGCTGGCTGGATGCAGAGGACCCCACAGTGACTCCAAGGCCCTAGGGAATGGTATAGCCCAAGAGGGGAAGAGACCAGCCTTCTTATCATTGCAAGCCAAAAAGCTGATTTGACTTTAAGTAAGAAACAAACTGTTACTGTGTTATACCCCTGAGATTTGGGGTTATTTTTGCCTTCCCTGACCAGTATGCTCACTATAGGTCTTTAGTTAATTGCCAATTCAAGTTTTTGATCTTCAAGAGAAAGTAGTCCCTTTCTATCTAAAAACAAGAGTACACTGACATCTTATTTGGTATAGGTTGAACCAAATCAATGATGTTTTCATGGAATCAGAATTCTAACTCATATCTCTACATCTACTCTTCTAAGCTGGTCAATGTTGGCTACTTTTGCACTGGGCCATTGGGCTACATTTGATTGACATTTGTCCTACATCTTCCCTGGGTAACACAAACATGGGGGGGGGTGGATTTTAAAGGTAAAACCAGTTAACTCTTTGCAAGCCTCCACAAGAAGACTGAAGAAATGTTGAATTTCTTGGAGGTGTTCTGTTTCCTGAGCTATTCCTTCCCCAAAATCAAGATCTCTATCTTAAAATTTGCCCAGTGACTTTAGTTATGACCTACAGAAAATAAAGGTAACATTTTTAAAATCAAAATTCACTTTGAAAAAGAGGGGGAAATCTCCTCACTCCACTGTCCAAGGGTTTCCATCTGCAAAGAATAGTATCTTAAATAGAGAATTGGTGGTGGGCATTCACACCCTGGCTTTTATTTCTTTCAATGTATAAGAATAATATTTATATTTTTTCAGCAATTACCAATATATTCTAGCAAAAAAAAAAAAAAGAAAAAGAATCCCACCATTCTACCAAATCAGGAATGGGAGGTGAGGGATAGATATTTTTCTTCAACCTGGACTTTGTAATCATTGATACCAAATAAAAAGTGAATGGAGAAGAAATGCAGGATTTAAAAAAAATATATTTTTAGTTATAGATAGACACAATACCTTTATTTTATTTATTACCTTTTATGTGGTGCTGAGAATCGAACCCAGTGCCTCACACATGCTAGGCAAGTGCTCTACCACTGAGCCACAACTCCAGCTCAAAATATAGCCTTTTAAAATAAATAATGGGAAATGCCTAGCCGGGTTGCAGGATCTATGACCCACAGAAGACCTGGGCTTCCTGCCATCTGCAGCAATCACTGAAAAGTTCTCAGTTCCTTCCTGAATCCATTCCATGGGGCACCTGCCTCATTAGCTGAGTGTAGCCCCCTTCAGACAGGCTGAGTGCCTCTGGATTCCCAGGAAGAAGCTCCTCACTCTACTGTCCAAGGGTTTCCATCTGCAAAGAACAGTACACTAGGAAGATGGTATGTTTTGAATACCACCTGGACGCCTTGGTTCCTCTGTATTCTAAGCCCAATTCCTTTGGGGGAGGGGTGGCCTGCTAGAAATACACAGGAAAAAGCCCCATATATATTTCTGGGTGCAAACCAGGGGGATGGAGAGCTACAGATGTCCATGATTGGGGGAGGGGAGGAATCCCCATGCAGGCTCCCATCCTCCAATCTTGCAGCCCAGTTGCCTTGGGTCTCACACAGCAATGGATGAGGATCCTTAGGGCTGCTGCCTCCTCACACATCCCAGCACTATAGCATCCCCACCTTGCTGAGACGGGAGGCTGAACTGCTCTGAAGGCTGTGTGGACCTGCTTTCACACTATGTAGGGGTCGGAGTTTGGCTCACCCCCAGACAGCAGAGGAGGGAGACCCCCAGTCTTGGAATTGTGGGGTCAAGCCAAGCTGCATCTCCAGCCGCAGGGCTATTTTTAGATGCTGTTATCTTTGCTTTGCTCACAAGCAGCTGTGAAAAACAAACTGGTGACCAAGAGGCACGAAACTGCAAAATAAAAACCTCATAAAACAAGAGCTTCAGAACTCAAGAGCATAGCACACAGTGGCAAAGCACTGTGCACCACCATGGCCGGGCCTGCTCAGCCTCCCCCTCAGGGGGCCCAGGTGAGGCTTTGCTCTTTTGCTGCAAACGCATTCCTGGCCCGGCATGCCTTGAGTAAGTCCTGCCTAGGCCCACTGCCCCAACATGGCCAGTCAGGCAGGCAGCCATACTCATGCCCACAGATGTTGACCCCAGGGCCAGGTGTGCTAAGGAAACAGGGTCGATGGGGTTAACACTGCCACAAACTGAAAAGCTCTAGCTCTCTGGCTTCTCTCTTCCAGTTCATCCTACCGTCTCTTTGCCTTATAACATCACAGCTCCATGACAGTGAAACCCTGCACAGGGAAAATGTCACCCAACACCAAGTGGCAGGGCAGGAAAACAGGAGGGGGTGCCAAGCAGACCCCCCCACACTTCCTCCCATCTCTTACAGCCCCTTCAAAGGCCAAGCCTCAGGGCGTCCTTCCTTCCACTCGAAGCGCCCTCGAGTCCCCATGTCCCCTGCAAGAAGCCCAACGCCAGGCGCTGCAGCCCCTGCAGACCCCTCCACCCAGCTGGTAAGGGCCTGGGTAGCAGCGTGGAAAAGTGCCGCCCCGCCCCAGAACCCGGCATGGAGGGGTGGGGAGGAGGCGGCAAACTTCAAAGCTGCAGCTGCAATATGCTTTTTGAAAAATAAAATAAAATAAAAGGCCCCTAAAAGCCGGCACTGTTCCCCTCGCCCCTCTGAGCTATGCGCGGTCCACCTGGACCTCCAGCTCACCCTAGCTCAGCTCTGCCAAGGGGACTCGGCTCTCAGACCTCAGCCACGGGGATTTCCTGTCAGGCTAGCGCGCTGCTGGGCTGCAGCTCATGTCTCCCCCACCCCCAAGTTCACCCACCACCTAGAGATGCAAGAAATTAGTTTTAAATAATGTCACTTGCCCATACCCCCTTTCCCCAAGCTGGTCCCATCTCTCACACACCCGTGTGGCCTGGGCTGCGAGTCGTGGAGGAGCATCCCGGGGGGTTGCGGTGGGGCGCCGCGCCGAGGCTTGCCTCCGCGGGCGCCCGTTCAGGCTCGGGCTCAGCCCTGGGCAGCCCGCCCGTGCATCGTTCGCTCGGTGCAGAAATCCTACCGCCCGTGCGCCCTGGGCGCGCCGCCGGGCCCCGCGCCGGCTCCCCGGGAATGCGGCCGTCAGGTGAGGTAGGCATGCGTGCCGGCTCCGCAGCGAAGCAGCAGCTGGCTGGGGCGCTGGGCTTGGGGTCTGCCTCTTCTCCCTCTCCCCGCAAAGGAGAGGCCTCTCAGGAGCTTGCCAGCGCCTTGTTGCGTTAGGTCCGCATTCCTCCTTCTTTTTTTCTTTTATCTTAGTTTCTCCTTCAGCGGCAAAAAGAGAGATCGCAGGAATCCATGCCCAGTTCCAGCCTAACTCGGTCCACAGGCAGAGAGAGAATTATGAATGGATGCTGCCTTCTGATGAGGAAGTCGACTGGGGAGGTCTCTGCGCACGGCGCGCTCCATCAAAGCAGGGGCATTGGCCCCTCCACTGCTTCAATGCTGCAGGCTGAGCCACCTAATTGACCACTGGGAAATCAGGTGCCGGGAGACCTGGGCGGGACGTAGCCCCGGGGCCACGCTGGCATCGAGCGCCTTGCCGGCGTAGACAGCTTCGATTTACAGCCCAGTGAATGGAGAGGACTGCGGCAGCCAAACCTCCCGGGCAGCAGGCACGGTTGCACCAACGCTCCGCATGCAGCCACCAGGCTCCACGAACATCTCCTGGCTCCACCGGGCTAACGGGAACCTAGCTGAAAAGAATCTGTCCCCTGCCGCCAGCCGCAGTGAGCTGCAGGACTCAGCCCCCAGCCCCAAACTCAGCAGCGCGCGGGAGCCGGTCACAAAGCCTGGCCTGTGCGCTTAGACGAGCTGGAGGTTGCGGAGGATCCCGGATCCGGATTTCTTGTACCTGTGCGTTTCCTTCTCCCGTAGCGCGACCGTTGGGGCTGCGCGTAACCCATGCCCAGAGTGGCGGCGGGCTTGGTACATCACCAACAGGCTGGACCGACCGCAGCTGCTCAGCACCGCACCCCCGTGGCTCCCCTCTCACCTCCCTTGTCCCCAGTCTCTGGCCAACAGTAGAGGAATCAGAGACGCCAACCATGCCAATCCTGCCATCGGGGGACAGAGGATGGACAGGGACCGGCGTAGAGCATGTGCCTGCATGTAACAGGAACAGAGCTGCCCGAAAAATGTGACATTGCGTCCCCTCCCCCCATTCATCTCCGGACGCTGAAGCCTCACATCCTAGACACAACTCACTCTGCCCAGGCTTAAAAACACTGCAAGGACAATGCCTTTGCAGCCATGTATTAATCTCCAGGGAAGGGTGATTTACTAAACCAGCTCTGAGGTTGAACCAGGATTAAAAACCATGGCAGTGTGTGCCCATGCCTTAGGCTGGCAGGTTCTATATATAACAACCTAATGCAGAAGGCAGAGTCATTTAGGGCCACTTAAAGCATAGCACTTATGGGATATAGCCTAATATATAACAAGGGGAAACCCAGTGAATGAAATTATCCAAAGATGCCTTGTGGAATGCTGTCTTGGTCATCTGTCTGAAGGCCTTTGAAACACATTTAGGGAAAGCTTGACCATTTTCTGACTGGGCTGCTTATTTTCAAATAGGGAGGTTTATGCCCTGGGCAGATTTGCACGTGTGAGCAGTATTATGTCCCCAGGTCTGTAACTCCTTCGTAATGCACAATTGTGGTAAAAACTTATCTAGCCAAGGTCACAAGAAATCACAGGGTCTGTATGAGCATTAGTAAAAAAAAAAATATTTCCTAATTGGCATTACTATGAATTAATGATTGTGGTCACATAAAGTATCACATTGAACCCAAGTTAGTCTGGGTTGGCTGTTCTCCTCCAACCCCATTCAATGCCAACCTCCTTGGAGGGCTGCCAGCTCCCAGCAAGGACAGAGAATCTGGCTGGAGTCCCCCTGGAAAGCAGTATGTCTAGGACAGGAAGGTGAGAGGAGGTAAGAGGCGAAGGCATAGCCACTTTCCCAGTGAAGGTGAGAAGAGAGCCATGAACCCCAAAGTTCAAAGGGTGGATGGGCAAAGGAGGAGGCCACCAGAGAGGGAGACAGAAAGATGAGTCAGAGAAGCAGGAGCTCAGGAGGGTGGGGGATGGGCCCCCACCTCAGAAGCCAGGAGGCGAGTTTCCAGAAGAAAGTGGGATCAAGAATGCCAAATCATGGAGAGATCAGTGGGAGGAGTTCTGCCTGCCAAGGGCTGACCTGGACCCAGGCTTTGGGAAGGCCTGAGGGATGGGAGGTGTGGGGTATGTGGGAAGCCCACTTGGAGCTTCTAAATATAAAAAGCAAGTCTTTTCCTTAGCCTTGCTCCTTGAGGACCACCAGCAGTGGCAGCACCTGGAGGTTTGTCAGAGATGCACATTCTTAGGCCCCACCTAGACCTGCCACATCACAGGGGGGGGGGTTGGCCACCATCTGTGTGGTGACAAACTTCATAGATCAAGTTCATTTGGGGAATGGGAAGCCCCACCATGTATTGGCTCCAACCTCTCAGGCCTTGAAATGGGAATTTATGTTAGGGTGAGCGAAATGGTCGCCCTCTGCAGCAATCCCTGGCAAGATCATGAGTGGCTGGTGGCCAAGTCACTAATCACACACCCCAAGGAGATGAATTACCTTGCTCTGGGTTTTCAGGTCTGCTCTATCAAGGGAGAGCCTGGATGATGAGGTCTGGAGAATTCCAAAATGCAATGAAACTGGCCAAGTCTTTCCCCCTTTGTATCAATATTTACAACAATGAAGTGGTTGTTAACAAAGATGATGGAAATAAGACTATAACCAGATTGTTTAAATTTGAATAAGGTTTTAACAAATCCCATGGCATAAAAGGGGAAAAAAAACATGGACTTTGAACCCAGAAAGACCTATGTGTGAATCTTAGCTCCTCCAGCCCTTAGCAGTGTAGCTTTGAAAAAATTATTTGACTTCTTGAATCTCGGTTTCCTTCTTTAAAAATGAAAACAAGAATATCTCATTTATAGGGTTGCTGAGAAGAGTAAATAAAATGATAAACATAAAGCACAATGATGGTACCTGGTACATATTAAAAACTCAATGAATGTACTTCCTTCCTTTCTGTCTGAGGTCTTCACTCATAATGCTCATATTATGTTTTTTTTTTTCTGGGGTTCCCATCCCCTGTACAGCATTTAGGGTTCTTGACACTTCCCATGGCTCAAGGGTTCAAACAGAGGCACTTATTGAGCATCTCTGAGATGCCAGGTATTGTGCTGGGTGCTTGTAGGGATAGACTAGAGCCTGGACCCCATTAGAACTGACATTATAAGGGCTGAGTTTATATCCAAGCCCATGTGGGTGGTCCCACTTATTTTTTTTAAGCCAAATGTACCAGATCTTAGGAGAAAAATAATTGCAAATGTGTCCTCCCTTAGGGAGTGCTGATTACAATAATCTTTTTTTTTTCTATAAAGGGTCAGACAAAGTATTTTAGGTTTCGTAGGCCAAATGTAGGCCACCCCATTCCGCTGTAGTAGCTCAAAAGTAGCCATACATAATGCATAAATGAACTGATGTGGCTGTGTTCCAGTGGATCTTTATTCACAAAAAACAGGGAGTGTGTGGGATTTGTCCCATGGACCATAGTTTGCCAAGTTCTGATCTACACTGTAGCTCAAGACATAACTATTCCTTTTAACTGGTATTGCTAAGAAATGTAGAAGTCTATACAGGTGATTTTCCACAAAACTAAAATTTATTAAAACAAGAACAATTTTCTGAAGGCCCTCATTGTTCTAAACCGAATTTTATAGTTTCTGTGGAAGAAACTGGCCAGTGAGCTGTTCACCACACTGTCTCTCTCTTTCTCCAAAAGCTACACTACATTTCCCAGCCTCCCTTGGAATTTTAGTTATACCTGTAACTACGTCCTGGCCAATGAAATGTGGGCAGAAGTGATATGTGTCTCTGGGTCTGGCCCATAAAACTCCTCACTCCGACACACACTCTTTTTTTCTCCTGAACATAGAGGCTCTTGGGGGCAGCAGAGCCCCAAGATGGAAGGAGTCTGGGTACCCAGCTGACAGTATGCTGACCTGCATAAGATGGCATGTAAAATGAGAAGTAAGCCACTCAAATGTTGGAGCTTTTATTACCAGAATTAGCCTACCTTGAGTAATTCACTTTCCTATCTCTTTAATCAGATGATATAAAACACAATCGAATGCTTTGCTGATTACTTAGGGTCTTTATTAAGAAGGCTTATTATTGGTCTCTATGGTAACACATTCCTAAGACTTTTTTCAGATTTCCAAGCTCTTCCTTTGAGATTTAGTTCTCTGCTGTCATTCCTCTCTCACCCTCCCTCTAGATTCTTTGCTATAGTTTGAAACCACAGTGGGATGCGGAAAGCAGACACCATAGCCAGGTAACATCTGTCCACTAAAAAAGAGTTACTAATGGTCTGAGCAAGAGCCTAAAGGACACAATGCATAGGCTTGCTCAGAACTATTGGCAGCCTTGAAAGACTTACTTCCAAGTAAGCTTGCACATCCTTCCAACACGTCCTTCCTTGCACAACCTTAGGGTTGTGTTCCTGATAGCTGAAGTCATCGGAAGCTCAGTAGCTCTGAAAACAGTGAGCTATTTCTGTATTGTCCAGCCTACACATTTTCAAGACTTTCATTTTTCTACTAGTTATCTTGGGAGAGTCCATACTACCTACAGGTTCTAGTTTCTTTCCCTTGACATTCAAGGACCACTCAACTTCTGAAATACTGTCACTTTCTGATTTTCTACCCATAAATTATACCTGTTATAGGCTCCAAATCTCCACTCTAAATTCACCTTTTCTGCTTAACTAAAATCTGTTGTTGCTGCCATCAGATCTTTGTCAACTCTTATTTTGTAGGAGCTGGAAGAATCAATTCTAAAAGGCCAAATAATTTTATTCTAGTTCCAGAGGTATTATAGTACCTTTATATCTGGGAGCAATTTACTACAAAAATCTAGCTATGTTTTAAACCTGGTCTTTGGATTATTCTGATAGGTGGGGATATAATCCTTTCCCAGAATGATGTGGGGAACAGAAAAGGAATTGGTGAGGCCAGATCAAGGGAGACTGGAGGAGGTCAAGGGGGTCTAAATACTTTAAGTTTGATTATACTCTTATTGAAACAATCATGTGATTGTTTTTATTTATTGATTGATTCACTTTTGGTGCTGGAGATTGAACCCAGGAGTGCTTTATCACTGAGCTATATCCCTAGCCCTTTTTTATTTTGAGACAGGGTCTCACTAAGTTGCCCAAGATGGCCTCAAACCTGCTAAGGTTGGCCTTGGATTCACTATCTTCCTGCCTCAACCTCCTGAGTCACTGGGATTACAGGGCCAACACACCTGGTTAACATGATCATATCTAAATGATCCTCTTAGTCTCTTTTTTCATCTACAAAACAAGGAGGGTGAAGATCATCTGTAAAGTTTCTCGGTCTCTCTCCTGACTATTCTTCTATGAGACCTGGAACAAAAATACCTTCCAAAATGATTTCTGATCACCAGTATTTTCTCCTTTTTCCCATTTCCACTTGACCATCCTACCTATAACTTCAGTATCTGCAAGGACAGCAATATTCTCTGTGGTATGCCAGGGTCTGGGCAACTTTTTGGTCCCATATTGACCTTGTTGATGACCTTGGAGAACCTAATTCCAGTTCTACTCTCTTTCTATCATGCATACCCCCTCCTTATATTTACCCATGGCTATTTCCCTGCTTTATTCTTTTTGGCTTAAATATGTGCTAAGACCTAATGATGAAAAGCCAGTTTTACCATTGAGGCTTACTTGCCTGGAGCAAGTTGGATGTCCCCTCCATAGATACAGATGTGGCTGAGCTTTCCTTCTCATCTGTCATAGTAGCAACACATTATTACTGCCGTTGGCCCCACCAGTGCTCACCAAGGGACCCCACAACTTCCAGAAGAAATTACTGCTATAAAATGGATCAGTCATTCATAAGGAACTATGTGTTTATTCATATATCTTTTATATCATAACAAATGTAAATTAATTTCAGAGCACGACTATCCCAGCTAGTATCTATATGGCTGCCTGTATAAATTTTTTCTCTCCAAATTCTTCAAACCATCTGGCATAAACTACTGTATTGTGACCTGTTAAAATAAGTAACAGCTGTGATAATCCCTCTCGATTTATAGCAAGCTATAAAACTTTGCATATACTGGCAATGCATATAAAATAATAAATAAAACCATTATCATTCTGTGCTGTCTTGGTGGGAATTATGATGATTTAGCCAAAATGGAACCCTATGGAATGCATCAGAGAAGTATCAAGCAGAGGTTTTATTCAACCTGGCTTTCCCTAGCCCTGCAAAATCAACCTCACTACTTAGAACTCCTGTTTATGTTTGAAAACTTTACTCAATGCAAATGCACTCTTTCTGAAAGAAAATGGTTCCCAATAGATTGCTGCCCAACTTCTATTATTTCAAAGCCTTCTTTTATGATGGTGGATTCCCCAAATTCCACAGTATATCCAGACCATAAAGAAAAAACAAGCTATGCACAAGTCAAAATGTGAAATAATTTACAGCATGAAATCCAAGATCGTCTTGGAATTGTTAGCTGTGAGTTATGTTTGCAAATACTGCCAAGATCCCAGGTTAAAAACACTGTATCAAAATCATCTGTCAAAGATATGCAATACATGGAAAAAGACAAGCTGGTATCTGGCAGGGAAAGGGACAAGTCAGCTTTGATTCAAGCTTTGTAACAAGACAGTTACTCTGCCCAAGACACATGGATTTCAGAAAGCTAAGGGAGAGGGAAAGAAACTACCATGAAATGACATGACTAACATGAAATGACTCTTTACTACGTACTGGGAATTATGCCCATAATCTTATTTAATCTTTACAATAGTCCTATGTCTTAGATATTATTATTCCTGTTTTATGGTTGAGGAAATTGATGCTCAGAGAGGTTAAGTAACTTGCCTTAGGGCATCCTGATAACAAGTTGCAAATGTGATATTTGAACTCAGGTCTGTCTGATTCCAAGGTTCATGCTATTTCCAACTTACCACACTACTTTTTGGACAGTTGTCTGAAACCTTTTCCCACCATGAACCATGGACTCCTCATTGTCATGGCCATAGGTGATTCCTGCTTTTTTCTCTCCACTTAGTAAAGTCTATTTGAATGAAAGTGGGAGATAATTATTGGAAGAACTTCAAATCCATTTTAATGTATATATTTAATTCTTTGCAAATAAGGTACTTGGTTATTGTGGTAGATTTTAAAATAGACACAGCACTTTTCAGTTCTTCCCATCAAGAGGTAGAATTAATTTCTCCACTTTGAATCTAACAGACTTGTGACTTAATTTGGCCAACCAAATGTAGTGGAAGTGAATTTGTACATATACTGAACCTGGGCCTCAAGAGGCCTTGTAACTTCTGCTTCTGCTGGTCTTGGTTCCTACACATGCTTGCTGCCATTCTATAAAGAAGGATAGGCTGGCCTGCTGGATGATGAGACACATGTGGCCCTCTCATCTTGGTCCACAGCCTGTTAACACCAGACATGCGACTCAGGCTATATTAGGTTATTCAGCCCAAGATGACTGACTACAGATTCAGAGGCAAGCTCCATGGAGCTTAACTGAGTCAGTCAAGACCAGAAAAACTACCCACTAAATTTTAAATCATTAAGTATTGGAATGGTTTGTGATGCAGAAAAGGCTAACTGATGTACTTCTTTAAAATAAATTTTGGGCCATATGTCAAAATAGATACTAATTGTTGAGAATCATTATGGTTTTGAACACAGCAATTATAAACTAGAGCTTTTTAAAAAACAAAAGGTAAGTCTTTTTTTTTTTACATTTTAAGTTGTAGACGGATATAATACCTTTTTAAATTTATTTTTATGTGGTGCTAAGGATCAAACCCAGTGCCCTCACATGTGTTAGGCAAGCACTCTACCCCTGAGCCACAACCCCAGCCCCCAAGGTAAGTCCTTTTTGATGGCTATAAGTATTATCACAACTCAAAGTCTTTACATCACCTCAATATGACTCATTAA